TATTAACTCTACTTTTCTAGACCCTTCTGAGCTTTCTCTAGAAACACTTACTGGCGACTGTTGGTTCTTAAACCCCGGCTACCAGAATGGTTTTACATCGTCTGGCCGTGGGGTTATATTTGTCAACACTCTAAAGTATCATTCTCTAGAAACATCTACTGTTCTACACTTGTCATCGCTTGTCTATCTGTCCTTGTCTCCAGAAATCTCCATCGACGCAGTCATTACAATGCGTTTTGAATCAAGCGAGCGCACACCACGTGCCCGCAACAATTCCGCCCCCCCTCCTCCTCCAACCAGGACCTTACTTACCACCCGTGATGATGCACACGCAACTGCCACTGTTTGCAACTACGAAGTTTCCCTTTAGAAAGTCCATGAATGTAGTATCATTGACGCCTTCCCAAGCCATCTTTCAGAAAAAAACAGCTGCAAAAAATACGAGGCGTTGGAAAAAATTCAAGTACCTCAACAAAGTCGCAACATGCCACAAAACACATCTGGACAGTACGATGTCTTGGGCTGTCCGTGCATGAGTTGCGTAACCACGCAAGTACACACCCTTGAGCTCTTGGTAGAGAGAAGCTCTTTCAAGCCGACCCTTGCCAAAAAGAAACCGTTGTGTGAACCAGCTCTCAGAAAACAGAAGGGGGCTCGCATGGTCCCGCGAAGGGTCTCTACGCGGCTTCACAGCTCAATGATTGCGGCTCTGGTTGTTTTTCCGTTTTTTTGTCTACGGAATGTGTTTGAAATCACGACTATATTATTATATATATAATTCGATGCACAGCCTCGCTATCAGTTTACCTATGTTGCACTATACTATGTACCATACTATGTATTGTTGAATTTGTACTATATATAGAATTGTTTGTATATCATGTATTCTATTTGAAACAGTGTTCATGCACAACCACCCTGGTTGAGGGACACAAGCGACCAGGGAAAACGGATGCCTCCTTGTATTCACCCGGGCGACCTCAAGCCTGGGCTTCAAGTGCAAGTATACGGCCGGACAAATGTGTGCGCAAGAGAGAAAAGGGATGAGGTGCCAAGACATGAAGACAGAGAGACATGAAGCGAAAAAGGAAAAACACGTGTAAAGGGGAAAGGATGAAAGGGGGAACCAAATGGAAGGGTCGGAAAACAACGAAGCCAAACCTCTTTAAGAGAACCTAGGAAGACCAAGCCTAGTTTGGCATGTGCGCTCCGTACGTGCAGTTAAGGTCGGGACGACCGTTGCGTCTACTCCTACCTTGCCAAAGTGGCTGGCAACTTTGGTCCGCTCTGGGCACCTCATGGCTTGCTCGAGGGCTGCCTGCTTATGTTCATGTAATCCAACAGGCCTTAATTAATTGACTTTTGGCATAAGCCCCCTACGCTCGCTGCGAGCTGCTCTGCTACCGGGCGCAGGGAACAAGCCCTTGTTCGACGGGGCCACGGGGCGCACTCCTCGGACTCACCCCGGGCTGGCACGAAGCCAGACACACTCGAGATATTGCGTACTGAAAACGACTGCCACATGCCAGACGCCCACCTGGGTATGAAAGCCTAAGAAGCCAGGGTACAAGTAGTGTGTAAGACGGTTTGACCATGAGTGAAATTGAAAACCTCAAAGTCTGAAAGAACGGCGAGCACTTGTCTGCAGATCTCAACCCGATGCAATGGCCAACGACTTGTTCTAGTGACAAAGGGGCCCAAGAGGAAATAAATGGTACTGTAATCACTGCGGGTACATCTGGCTGATCAGGCCAGATGTCAGCACGGAGCTTGACCCTCTTCGTTGCAAGTCAAGCCCGTGGGTGATCCCCCTGCTATGCAAGTGAAAAAGTTCCCTGCGATTCCCAGGGTTTCATATATATATATATATTATACACACACATATTGAGGTGAGGATCCACACTGGCGGACTGGAACTTAGGAAATGAAGCAAGCATATACTTGGACCATTGAAGAATTCGCTGTGCTCTGACTCGAGTCCGCTTGAGGTTTGAGATGGATGCTGAGCCGTCAACCGTTGTTGGCTTGCACGGTGCACAGCGCGGGAGAACTCTTCCCACGGGGCTTTCAATCTTCGAAAAGGCATTCTAAGTTTGAGTCCATTGGCATGCTACTACATGCGAGGGATTGCTGATCGTTTCGAGGCATCTCCAAACCATCAAGTTGAGCGGATACTGTGGAAACGCACGCTTTTGCACGACTCTCTTTTGGGTCCCTGACACTGACACATACTACATACCCACCATCATGCACGCGACTGCAACTTTTTGTAACTCGGAACTTTCTCTTCGAAACTTCTTCACCGGATGAACTACCCTTGCTCTACTTCAATCATAGCAAGAAGGTGCTTGAATGCTTTGCCTCACCCCGCAAGCACAGGAGAGGAAGTGCCACCCTGAGAAAATTCAGAGCCAAATTCAACTCTTGATCTCAATCGAGGCACGCACATGTACGGTGCCAATTGGCCAGGGCCTTGCCTGACAGAAAAGGTCACCATGCCATGCACTAAAGTTAAAGAGTGCACAAAAGCTTGACCTCCTCAAAAAATGATTTGTACTTGAGGCGTGCCAGAAAAAGGCATAGGCAGCTTTGTTTGCAGCCTCGGCTGCATTGACCTGAGTGTCAACATGCCGTCCTCCTTCGATAGAAATTGAACAAAGAATTGAGCCTGGAGGTCTTTGCCAGATTCAGCAGCCTGAGGCAGAAGGCATGTTCGTGTAAGAATCACAACAACATGCAACAACACTCTTTGCCTTAGCCGCACTCAGCGGGTAGTTTCCACCAACCTCAGTCTTTGTGTTTCAGTGACCACTTCAATGCGTAAGGGTGGTCTCTCACAACATTCTAAGGACGAAGCACCAACTCCAAGAAGCAAGCGACTTGCAATGATTACTGTCCACACAGTGTCCGGAGGTCCTGCCAATCCACAAATTGCCTAACTCCCCATGTGCGCACACTGCCCACCCCAGGAAAGCAACGAGGAAGTCAAAGCTCCCATCGCCGTCAAGCCATTTGCCAGAATCTTGGTGTCAAAACCAATGTGAAACAAGTGCGGGACTCAAAGCCTCCCTCTACAGCAGTGGGTTTAATCGAAACCTTCATATTGGAGCCACTAGCTCTTCTACATGTGTTTGCGTGGCTCAAACTAAGATCAGTACGAGTGCAGGGCGAATCCCCAACAAATCACCAAGGTACCTGATCATTTCTCATCACCTGGTTCTCGACAAAACATGCGAAACACGCCGGCTGGACCCCATGAGCAGCATCCCAACAACGGAACCCATGAAAACTGCCCCTCAGCATGCCGAGAAGAACTTGACATGTGCAATGCTGTGCTCGTTATCCAAGGAAGATGCCAAGTAAATAATGGCCAACCTCGGGCTCAAGATGCTCATGTACTTCCATAGCAAGCCGATACTTCTTTGAGTAAGCCTGGACTATATAAACGCAAATGTCTTGAGGATGATTCCCAAGCAGGTTGTGGAAAATCCGGTTTGACCTTAGTTGCAAAGAAATGCCTATTGGCCTCTTGCTTCCTCTTACTTCCGCTTGCTTCCTCCCCTTCATGTTGCTTCGACGATCTGGTCAGGCTTGAGACTAGTTTCAGCATCACTGCAAAGCTTAGGCAAGGGCGGCTGTGCCAATATTGTCATTGTCGGACAACATGATTGCCGCAGCTATACTGAGAAGCAACTTAAGTTGCATTGCGAATGATGCCCTGCTTGAAATGGCCAAAGGTTCCGAGTGAACAGGCTGTGACACGGTCAGTCCTTGCAGATGTGTAGTTGTATTGGATCGAAAAATTGCTGCAAGCAGACCTCAGCCGGGGTTGCTACATTTTGGGGTGTCTGTTTGTTGAGTTTTAGAAGCAGCACAATTGGGGACAGCAACTCTTCCAACAACGAATCCGAAGCACACCTTTAAAACGTGACCCACTATGACTATAACCATGACTCGAACACAAACAGCCTGAACATGTGATGATTAAATTTAGTGTCATTGCCTGGACACAAATGCCAAGATCGGTGCACAAAACCTGGGCAGCATTGCTTTTCCTGCGAAGTGCCCAAGGTTCCCTCCTGTAGCGACATCATGAGGACTCTCGTGAAAAAGGGCTTGAACAACATGTACTGTAGACGTGTAACCATTTGCCCTCACCTGGAAGGGCTCCAACTCCAGCTGGGAACTGCCAAAGTGTCTCAATAGAGGTTGCCGGACAGCAAGATTTTGCCGGTCACGGACCACGCTGCTTTTCACGTTTAAGTTAAGTATAAATATATATATATATTATATATATATGTATGTATAGGTTGCTTCCAACCACATTTCAATCTGGCCAGGCCTTCCTCCTTTGGAGAAGGGAAGCATGGGCTCCAATCCGGCCATGTCATCACTCACTTGCCGGTGTGTGCTGCAAACCTGTGAGGCTTGGTTGTCTCCTTGATTGAAGCTGCTTGTTGCATCCCGTTCCGCTTTGATTGTTGACGGTGCTCTTTACAAAAGTGCAACTGTGAGGCTCTGCACCACGGAAGTCAAGCTACAAATTCTCCAAGCAACAGATTGCAACAACCATGTGGGCAGCACGTGCAACATGCCTTGCTCTTTTTTTGGTATTGTACTATGGCACATCGCGCCCTGATGTGGAACGAGCGGCATTGCTCTGAGCTGATCTTTATCGTACTTTGCGTGTGCACAATGGTCGACAATGCCGTCGCTGAAATCCCGCAGTTCAAGACTGGGGTAAATGCTTGAGCTCGCCTTAAAAAGCAGCAATGTCTTCAGACATTCTGCAGGCCGAGCTCTATAGGCTTGTAGCTCAGTTTGCTCCGAACGAGAGCAGCTGCAGCTACAAGCTGAAACACCGGCTTCCACAAAACAATCGTCATTCATACTGAATGACGCTTATTTTAAAGTGAGGTCTCCACTTTTGTGGTGGTTTCGTGAGGTCAATCACATGGAATGTCAAACAACTTAGTTATATACTGTACTTGAATGTGTTTGAGGACATTCACTGGTTTAAGGACAAAAGCGCCCCCCACCGCAAACAATTCATTTCTGAAGTAGTGCCTTCAATCTGGCAATCTCCTGCAGCCCACAGCATAAACGTTGTGTGCGAGTTGCATTCAGCTGATTCCATCATCGTGACTTGCCTCATCCTTTTTGTGCAGCTCGCTGGCAAACTCCTGAAAACAATCGACTTCAAGTTCTTTAAGGATGTGGGCTTGTCACGATTGCACCTGCTCCTTCTTTTTGATCTCACAAACAAAAGCCTAGCAGCCACGATCGAGAAGAACAGCAGGGGTTGCGAAGGAGTCAAGAAGGTGCACCTCCTCTTTTTGCTTGATCTCCTTCACCACAGCCTCAACGAGCTCCTGGCCAGCAAGCAAGGTCATGATACCAGGACCCCGTCTTGCCCTTTCTATATAATCTTCAAACTTCAATCACCGCGTTTTTGTGTTTTTCTCGAAGACACCATCCAAGCCAACTGTGTCTGTGTCCTCCTTTCCCATTGCCACAATCCTGCTTCGGCTTCTTTCCTTCCAAATCATGCTAATCATACTGTAGAGCATATTTAAAAAACACTAAAACAATCTAAAACATACCCGTTGCTACCGACGATAGAAGTTCACCCCCCTCATTTTATCATGAAATTGGTTGAATAAAATTACTTTCACACACCAAAGGCATTAAATCTGACAAGCGCAAAAAGAAAGCAACTTTCTCACAATGTTATCTAAAACAACTGGCTAATGTGACAAGTGTGCAAATCTGTCTGTGCCAACCATTTTGTTGAAGACCCAATTTAGATAGCCCTTTAACTAACTAACAGAAAGGGACGCTGTCAGGTCCCACGTTTTCCACGTTTCTGGAAATACAGTGAATTATAAACATGCATTGTATTATCTTTATATACAGCAACAATTCCACAGAAGTATCAAATTCTCAGTGCCATGGTATCCAAATAGCAATGTTAGCAACAGTTGTTTTTGGCTGATCTCAAATAAAAACACCGCAAACTGTATGAGAATAGAAGCTTTCAACAAAGGGTAGTAAATAAAAAAATAACACTAACTTCCGTATTAGGAGCCTTTGACAAAGGCCTGGAGGAGGGTTGACCAATTTTTTTCCGGTCGACCCCCCTCCCAAGCAACTGACTTCCGTAAAGTGTAGCGTCAAGTGTAGCAGATTAGGAGCCTTCCAGGAGCAGGGTCGACCGAAACAAAAAATAACTTGTGTGTGTGTGTTTTTTTTTGACCCCCTCCCAAGGAAGAAACTCCAGCAAATGTAGGAGAGTTGGATAATTTTGTATATTTTTTCGGTCGACCCTCCTCTCAAGAAAAAAGAGTTGGAGCCTCCGGCCAAGTCTAGTAGAGCAGAGTTAAAAAAAGTTCAAAAAAATGTGCTTTTACATTAAAACAACAGTTTGCACAATTTTTGGAATGTATAAAGCCTACTACTTTAAACTTTAAGCTGAAGCATGCTGGTATTACAGCATACTGTGTTAAGATTGATGCTTTCACCATCAAGGCTGAAGATGAACAGAAGCCAACGAAGTGGATTTTATTAATAAGATTGGAGGCTGGAGAGTGAGCAAGTACAGTATGTTGATATTAAATTACCTAATGAACTTTACCAAGTTGTAGAAAATCAAAGTGTAGAAATACTAACATCTATATAAAAATCTAAAAATAGAGAAATTCAATATGACGAGTATGATACTGCTGATATTGTTAGTAGAATTGAGAAAGTGAACCAGTAATGATTAGGATATTACTTGCAGGAGCAAACAAAAGTCACATCTGCCAGAGAATGGTTGATAACGGCTACACAATACTTTTTGTATGCCCTACTAATAGGTTATTACACGAATTTGAAGGTGATGCCATACCGGCCATACCAATAAACAATATTTTTTGCATAAGTTTTGGTGATGTTAAAACGGAACCATTTAGTTTTTCATAATTTGATGTCATAGCAATTGATCAAATCTATTTCATCGGTTTGAGTGTTTAGTGCAAAGCCACATAGGAGCAATTTGGGATGCCAAACAACTAAAATCAGTTCAGGAGCTGACAAATACCAAAGATTATGAAACAATATGCTGATGCAATGATTAGAAGAGGATTAACAAAGGCTAAACAATATCAAGAACTATATACTTTTAAATACCCACAACTGAACAAATTGAGAAAGACTTTAGATATGGTATAATAATGATATTACGTCGTCAACATACAACATAGCATATTTGAATAAGACCTGTAAACAATCTTATAAATAATCATATTATGTATGGGTTCAAAAAGCACTGAAAACCACGTATTTTGGGGGACCTGGTGGCGTCCCACTCTCTTAACTAAATGAGTTAAATGAAATGGGTTTTCCGTGGTCGACCACACACATTTTAGATAGCCGGCAGCATCGGGGATATTAAAATACAAACTACCGTCTAGCGTGTTCATCGTCGTTGTAGGTCTTGACGTTTCATTGGTTTTGGCCAGGGCAACGACCAAAATACTTGGAGCAGCTGCCTTGTATGGGCAAAAGCAGAGTGCAAGGCATCCGAATTCAAAGACTTCGTCGAAATGCAACGAAAAACAACAACCACTGCACTTCTGAACCATGGCAATTTAGCAAACATCGCAGTGGTCTACAGTTTAAGACAAGAATGTCAACCGTGCTGTGGCAACCGGCAGTGAGGAGTCTTTGCCAGTGTGCATTCCCCATTTGAACCCACTCTGCAAATCGGCGACTGCAAAGGCTTCAAAACTCAACAGGCATTGGGTGAAATTGTGCGTGCCAACTATGCTTTGCAAAGTGAACCTAGTAGCGATGGTTTCCAACCTAATAGCAATGGCCTCCAACCTAATAGCAATGGCCTCAACCCAATAGCGGCCTCCACCAAATAATCAATGGCCTCCACTTAATAGCTATATGGCCTCCACCTAAGAGCGATGGCCTCCAACCTAGTAGCGATGGGTGAAACTGTGCGTGCAAACCATGCTTTGCTGATCTTTGCTGCTTTCTGGTTTCTGGAGGGACTTGGCCCCAAATCCTCGCTATTATGTGATTGATTGGGAGCCTCCAAACAAGAGCTGACCTCCCAGCAAATTCATGCTTTGGCTGTCGGACAGCAATCACGTCCATATACACAAGGTATCCAGTATCTCATGAGTGGCGGACAAAACGTCTGCGTGTTCTCAATGCCAAAGGCATCCCCTATCAGTTTCCAGGGCAGTTTTTTGGAACGCAGGCAATAAGCGACTTTCAATCAAGAAAGAATATTTTTCGATGCTCATGTTCTCTGTAGCATGCAGCATGTGTAGATGTATGGAGATTTGAATAAAGACCTGCAGTTCCCGCGCCCTTTCTCTGTCCAATTCAATTGTTACACCCAGCCGCGCAAGTCACGGAATAGTAGGGAAAAGTTTGAGTTCCCCAATGGAAACGCGACGCCAGGAGGGGGGTCCCGGCGTAGTCCTTGCAAAAACCAGCTCCTCGCATGAAAACGCAATCATTTGCGAAGGTTTTTGATGTGTTCTGAAATTCCTTCATTATCACCATTGTCGTGTATTCAACAAGCTTCTTGCAAGGAAGCGCCATGGTTTAGCAATAACTCCTTGTGATCCCTTCACATCTCTTTGGACCAGGCTGTGGACACTTTACTGAAAATCACACAAGTTGCAAAGAGGTATCGGAAAGAGGGTGAACGAGAGGGTGAACGAGGTCAGGACCCTTGCCAGCAAGGAAAGCCCTCAGAATGAAGACCTTTACCTTTTATTTGCTGGTGCGATCGACGTTTTGTTTGCCGCTGCTGCCTTGTCTCTGAAACTTGTCTCCCCACTTCTCTGGGTTTGCTTCTCATTGGATTTTGTCTCAGGTTGCTCTCTGGGGTCTATGCTGCTTAAATGTGTCTTTTTGATGCACCACTGGCACATCCCCTTCCACCTCCACCACAGTTGCAGGAAACACCCTTCAAAAATCTTCAAAACACAAATTATAGGCTTCTCCCCAACCAAACGCGACATCACCATAACTTCCATACATTCAAATCCCAATGGAAACGGACGAAAGCATGGCATTCGTAGCAGCGAGAAACCATGTTCAGTCTCTTGTTGCAACTTAAGTGCCACGCCGCGTTGGCCTCGCCACAGGAAGTACGCCAAATAGCATGGGAGTACAAGCTTTGAGTCAGTTGTTTGCTTTTGTAAAAGAAACACGTATGTATGTTCCTACTCAAACGCATTCAATACTTTGCAACAGCCACAGAGGAAAACATACACAGAACCCAACAGAACCTGCAAGCTTATGACGCTTCGTTCTCTGGCGTGTGTGTGAAATCTAAGGCCTTTGGGATCACTGGGCTCAGCCAGGTGGCCACGGAAGGCTTGTGCTGAAACCTGCAGAACTTGCCAGTCCTGCGGCACTTCTTGGCTATCTCTGGGCTGCAGGCATCGTTGGTGGCACGGGGACCGATGCCTTGGTCGCGGTTCCGGTTCTTGGCTCACGTGTTTCAATGGTATTGGAAAGAAAATCTGTTCAAGTCTCTGACAGGCACTGGCACTGGGGATGTTGAAGCCGGCTTGGGTGCAGCTGGGAACTTCTTGTACAATGCCTGTCCCGGCTCAAGCAAGACTCCAGAAACCGTTTCATGAGAAGCGTTGGCACAGTACAAGACAAAGTTCCGCGCCAAACAAAACACACTTGAACCATGATGGAGGCTTGCAGGCCAGAGTGCATGGAAAGCATGCCTAAAACCCATTATACATACCGACTCCTAACTGACTCCTACACACCGGCCTGTGCTCAAGATGTTCCTCCCTACCTTAAACCTTGTTCATCATTTTTCGCCAAACCAACCTCTTCTTATTCTGCACTTCTGCACTCTTATTCCTCAGTCCACCTGTTCAATCTTAGTCAAACCTCGTTTTTTCCCTCTGGAACCTCTCCTTCATATCCTGACCTCTGTAATTGAAAGCGATTGAGCTTCCCTTTCTCAAGCGAGTCTCTTGCTTCTGGATCAAACATCCCCCTCACACTTAAAACAACAAGCACACGCAAAACCAAACTCCATTGGGGAAACACTCTTTGAAAGTCAAGGATGCCAAAGGCATCATAACGGATGTTGCAAATAGGAATGGTACTTGTACACCGAAAGGCTCATTAATGAACATGGTTCTTCTTACCTGATGCCCCTCTTCTCCTCGGCATGTTGCAAAGCACCATTAAATGTGACCAAAGTACAAGAAAACCCACACTTCCCCCATCATCCATCTACTTTTTTTCAGTATTAATGGGTTGGACGCCTCAAGCGGAGACTCCAACCAATCTACACTGTCTTATATAATCGTTTTGAAAAGAACTACCCGTCGTTGACCCATACATGTTCTCATGATATTGCCGGGATACCAGCTACCATGCAAACCAGCAGGTAATGGCCTGCAGGTCTGGAGGGGAGTGCACATGTGCGGCATAGTAGTCCCTGCGGCAACAATCGACATGTTCTACACTCCTCTGTACACGTAGAGAAAACTCATTGCGAGGCGCAACTAGCCTGAATGGCGCGTCAATGGACGGAGAAGGCTTGGAGGTGGACACTGGTTCCGCACTTCCCTTCTTGGGGGCTTTGTTCAACCAGGTGCCCACTGAGGGGCGCATGGCAAACCTTAGCAAAGAAGAACGTTCCAAACAAAGCCGACATGACATGCCTCTGTGCGGGTCTCATGGTGTGCTTCTTTTGTGATACAATGTGATACAGTATGTCTTTCTGCTTTCAGGCCAGTGCGGTACACTCGCCTCATATGACATGCAGTTTTACCAATTCCAAAGTTGCAGTGTCAGAAGCATCAGACAAGACTGAGGCCATTGCTTGCGAAGACTCAGCCGCTGGTTTAGCCACTGGTTTTGGCTGCCCAGGGAACTTCGCGTACAGATTCTGACAACAGCTCGTGTTTTGAGCGTGCTTGCTGTTATCAAGTAAATCAAGCGTGGTCCTCCAGATCACTGGGCGCAAGGGAGCGCACATGGGAGGCGTAGTACTCCCTCACAATGCTGCACTCACTTTGCATGACTAAATCATCTTTCAGGTGGCAATCTGGCCTGAAAGGAAGCATTTCTGGAGCTTGAGAAACCGGAATTTCTTTCATGGGCTTTGCCTTGACAACTCGGCGTTTCAAACTTCTGTTGTGGCCAAAACCAAAGCAGTGATAAGCCGCAATGGACTTGGATCAAAACATGTGAATAACTAACCATATTTCTGAGCCTAAGTGTGTCAAAGATCAACAACGTCCAGTTGAGTATTTGGGGATGTTCACCCAACATTATGGAAATGGAGGCGTTGTCTTGACCCAGATCCAAATCAGCTTCAGCTTGTCATGTAATCAACTGTATATATTTGTATTCAAGCAGTGTCCAAAAGGAAACACCCGTCGAAGGCATGCAACGTTTGTATCTGTGCCCATGTGTGGATGCGCAGGTGCAATGCGGTCGCCGGTGCGGGGCTCTACACAAAACTGGGTTCTGTCTCAACAAAAGTGTCTGTGAAACTTGAAACAAAACACTTTGCAAAGCCTGAGATTCTGTTGGCTTCTGCGGCACTTTGGGCGGGCTTGGAGCAGGGAACTTCGCGTACAAAGTCTGCGGCAAGCAAGTCAAGTTTTTACATGATTTCACAACAATAAAGCTTCAGCTTCTAGTGCAACCCTATCTCGTGCCAGCAGAAAATGGCCTGCAGGTCTGGAGGGGAGTGCACATGTGCGGCATAGTAGTCCCTGCGGCAACAATCGACATGTTCTACACTCCTCTGTACACGTAGAGAAAACTCATTGCGAGGGTCAACTGGCCTGAATGGCGCGTCAATGGACGGAGAAGGCTTGGAGGTGGACACTGGTTCCACACTTCCCTTCTTGGGGGCTTTGTTCAACCAGGTGCCCACTGAGGGGCGCATGGCAAACCTTAGCAAAGAAGATCGTTCCAAACAAAGCCGACATGACATGCCTCTGTGCGGGTCTCATGGTTTGCTTCTTTTGTGATACAATGTGATACAGTATGTCTTTCTGCTTTCAGGCCAGTGCGGTACACTCGCCTCATATGACATGCAGTTTTACCAATTCCAAAGTTGCATTGTCAGAAGCATCAGCCAAGACCGAGGCCATTGCTTGCGAAGACTCAGCCGCTGGTTTAGAAACAGGCAAAGCTTCCTTCATCGGAGCCTCCAATCCCCGTCATTTGCTTGGTTTAAGTTTGTCTATTTGCGTGAAGGTGGATTGTTCAATTGTCCATCGCTATCCAATGCACTTGCTGCAAAAATGTTCTGGTTGAGAAAGTCGGGAAGCCGTTGACAAACATCCTTTACAGTTCCGTTCAGACCAGGACAATGTAAAGATCTCGAAAACTCGAGTTGGACCTATCCAGCAGCAGTGGTGGATCAATCGAAAACTTTGGTTCGCTACGAATTTCCAGCCCGGAAACAGTATCCCATATCATATACACACATGTAATCATGTGTTCATGTATATATGCATATATACGCGTCGATCAGCTTGGAAACAATTGCGCTTCCGAACACCCACAATAATTGTGAAACACATCTATTTGGACATGACACTAAGCACTGGGAGACAAAGCGATACCGCATTCCAATGCGTTCCACGTATGTGTCCGCTTTTATCACCAGTGCCCTTTGCTGCTGCATTTACCCTGACCACCTTGTTCAACCAGGTGCCCACTGAGGGGCGCATGGCAAACCTTAGCAAAGAAGAACGTTCCAAACAAAGCCGACATGACATGCCTCTGTGCGGGTCTCATGGTTTGCTTCTTTTGTGATACAATGTGATACAGTATGTCTTTCTGCTTTCAGGCCAGTGCGGTACACTCGCCTCATATGACATGCAGTTCTACCAATTCCAAAGTTGCATTGTCAGACAGACAAGACTGAGGCCATTGCTTGCGAAGACTCAGCCGCTGGTTTAGCCACTGGTTTTGGCTGCCCAGGGAACTTCGCGTACAGATTCTGGCAACAGCTCGTGTTTTGAGCGTGCTTGCTGTTATCAAGTAAATCAAGCGTGGTCCTCCAGATCACTGGGCGCAAGGGAGCGCACATGGGAGGCGTAGTACTCCCTCAGAAGCAAGGACGTTTGGTGTTGAGAACAAGTGCTGAATCTCGAAGTGTTGCAAGTTGCCGCCTGAACGGAAGGAGCTGAGGCTCTTGAGGAATAGCTGCCTGGCATGAACGCTTGGAACAAGGGAGTCAGTGGAAGAGAAGCAGGGCCTTTAACTTGGGAAATCACTTTTCTTTTGGCTGTGGGTCAAAATTTTCCCTTGGTCCGACAGCTAAGGTAGATCCCCAGGATTTTACGTATTAAAATCCGACCGAACCAAAGTAACTGTCTAGTTTTTCAGTGGTGCCCTAGGGTTTTATTCTCAAGAGTTGTTTTGAGAAAAATCCTTTGGACCAACGTGTGTCAGAGGGTTGGGAACCAAGGAAGAAACAAGGAGTCCGGGCTGATCAAATCCTTAATTAAATCCTGGGTATCTATACCCTAGCTGGTCCCCGAATTCTCTGTCAGCTACCACAGGAAAAATGTGCCTGTAAATTGTTTACATTTGAATTGATTGATTACATGGCCCCATACGCAACCCCCAATTAATTAATTAAAGTGATTGCAATCTTATGTTGTATATACAGCGTGTGTATCTATCAGCCGAGCAAATACTGTAAGATCTGTGAGCAAATGCTGCAATGAATGGAATTGACGACACACACTTATATTACATAAAACAAAACCCCCTACGTGACCGTTTAAAATTGTGCGCCGGGCTTCGGGACAAAGGTAAGAGAAAATCAACATGACCGAAGACTCAAAATTTTCCCGAAATTCTTCCGGAAATTGTAGGTTTTGCAACGAAATTTCTTGGAAATTTGGAGGCTTTGTGCCTTCCGAACCCATTAAATTTTCGGACAACTTCGAGCGACGTACCACTAGGCGATTCGGTGACGTTGTGGTTCGAATCCCCCCTGGGCCCCTGGATATCTTTTTTCGATGGATACAAGCTTCCAGGCTGCAAAAAGCGTGGGCGTGTGCGCATTGGAGCGTAGGTGCTGGTCCAGCTGCTGGGTGTCGTTGCGCTTGAGAGTTTGGTTGCATTGTGCCGCTTCTCTGTGCGTTTCGGAGCTGGGGTACAGCAAAAGGTTGACAAAAACTGTCCACGAAAAGCGTCCTCTCCAATATCTCTAAAATCCATAAAAATCCTAGCCCAACCCCAGTATCTCTACCTTGTGAAATCCTACAGCTTTAGTGAAATCCTGTACTCTAACGTGTTTTTGGAATCCTGGCGCCTAACCTTGAGCAAAAGGATTTCCAAAAAACCTCATTTCTGCTGTAATTTCCTGGTGCCCTACCTGACTTCCTTTTTTTAGATCTTTTCTGATGCTTTTCCCGAAAGCATTGCGAAGGGTTCTTCCGGAAAATCCCTTGAACACTGACACTTCGACACTTACACTTACACACTGACACTTCCACCACACTTGCACGACAACATGAACGCTATACGTACCCCAGTGTAAGTGGAAGAGCGAAAGCATCCAAGTGCAGAGTATGCAAGTGTCAAAGTATGCAAGTGTAATGCGCGTGTAAGTATGCAAGTGTAAGTATGCAAGTGTAATGATGCAAGTGCAATGATGAGTATGCAAGCATGCAATGAGTAGGCAAGTGTGAGTATGGAAAACTAGCACGGGAGATGTCCTAATGAAAAAACATTTCCCCACTTTATAAATTCTCTCTTAAAGGCGGAGGGTGGGACGAACAGCGTCAACCGAAAATGCAGCCCTCTGCGGAGATCGTGCGTGTCGATTGCGCGACATGCAGGCCAGAGTGCGATTTGTCCGGTCCGCGCGCAACCATCTGCGGAGATCGTGCGTGTCGAGCGCGCGAAACGCAGGCGAGAGTGCGATTCGTCCGGTGCCCGCGCAACCCTCTGCGGAGATCGTGCGTGTCGAGTGCGCGAAACGCAGGCGAGAGTGCGATTCGTCGAGAGTGCGATTCGTCCGGCGCCCGCGCAACCCTCTGCGGAGATCGTGCGTGTCGAGTGCGCGAAATGCAGGCGAGAGTGCGATTTGTCCGGTGGCGCGCAACCCTCTGCGGAGATTGCGCGCGTCGAGTGCGCGAAGTGCAGGCACTGGCGACTTTCTAGTACTACTTTAGTACGCGGAGTATCTGGGGAGCTGGAAGATGAGAACTGGCGACTTGGTAGTACAACTGTAGTACGCGGAGCAATCTGTGGAGCTGGAAGCTGAGAACTGGCGACTTTGTAGTACAACTTTAGTACGCGGAGTATCTGGAGAGCTGGAAGATGAGAACTGGCGACTTTCTAGTACAACTTTAGTACGCGGAGTATCTGGGGAGCTGGAAGATGAGA